AGTTCATGGACTTTCGTTTTGGGCTGAAAGTCCATGAACTGAGTTTTTAATTCAAATTGCTTTAATTTTAATTTTTAAGAACTTATTTGGTTCTTTTGAAAATCAGATTGGTTATATTTAGTTTCCTATGTTCTGCAGCAATTTTTAATTTTGTCATTTTTTGCTGCAATTATCTTCAATTTTTCATTTTTTCTTTATATCATATATAATATATATTTGTATGTTTATATCATATCCTGGTTATATTATATTCTATGTCTAATAATTTCAATATTGAAGTTTATGAGCCTTTTTATACTATCCTTTGTTCCTACTGCTTCTTAATCAATCATAGTCTTTTTTCCACTCGTACTTCTACATTTCTTGTTATGAGCTGCTCTTTTTCCTTATGTAAGTATTTATGTAGGTTTTTTGACACCTAGTTTAAACATAGATTTCCATAGAGTATTTGTTTCATTCTTCTAATTTTTGGGTCATCATCAGTCCAGGACAATTATAAACTAAATTTATGGCATGAAATTATTTTGGCCCAAAATTACAAAGCAAATTTGGACTACAGATCACAGAGGGCTAGCTCATGGTTGCAAATTCTCAGAAACAGTTTGCCCTTTTTATTTTTGCCTGCTCAAAGGCAAATTTCCTAGGAATACTCTTGTATTAGGGGATGAAGCACACTTTGTTTTGTTTCACCCTTACTCTGAGGATAGGAACATTGTTTCTCCAGATTTTCAGGGAGGGGATGTCTCTTATGCTCCCCACATGAATAAGCTCTGGGTGTCATGTCCTGTCTATTGCAGTTCATGAGCCTGAGAAAACCAAAGCTAAGATTTCTCCAGATTTGGCAAACGCCCTAAGAATAAAAACAACTTTCCTCTTTGAATTATTTGCCTACATTTTTATATATTGGCCTGAATGATTATTCTTGATTACTCTTGATTGTTCTACTAAACATTTGAATATTTTATTGATTATTTTTAGTTGTTGTTAGTGCAAGAGGCAGCCCGAAAACCTTGCCTACCATACTACTGGAAATGAAATACTCATTAACTATTTTTTCATTCCTGCTATTTATCTGGCAACATTTTAGGTGCATAGAAGTTCACCTAAACCAATGCCAGTTAGTGTGGTCTGTGAACCAGTGCTGGCCTATGAGGTATTTGTTATCAGCCCACAATAAGATAGGTACAGAAATTGAAAGTGAGTATAAGCAAGAAAACCTCTACCTTATCTATTCCAAGACTAAACATTTATATTATGTCATTGGATCTGCTAAAACAGTTTGATTATTAGCTCTTCATGGACCAGACTGAGTAGCACAGTGTCTTAACTAGGATAGTTTTTTAGACTTTTGTTGGAGTCACAAAAATACTGATAAATGTTATGGATACCCTCCCAGGAAATATGTGCATATACAAAGAAATATAAAAGTTAATATAAAATGTCAGTGTATATATATGGATCCTCTCAAGTCTTATAGATCTTGGTTTTTTAATCCTAGTGACCAGACAAAAACAGGGAAAAGTAATCACTTCATCATCCCACAATGCCATTCCACTTATTTGTGAATATAAAAAAGTAGAAGAAAGCTGGATCCCATAAGAGACTGTCAAGGGAATAAGTTGAAAGATGTAATTTATTAGTCACTCATTCATCTAA